TAGCCATGTTCATTATCTTGATTGTGATGATAAATTCGTGGATGCATGTGGTATATATAGTGTCATGGTTAAATATATATATATATAATATATATAAAGACTTACCAAAGTATAATTTATTATATTTAATTATATGAATTGATATATGAGTTAAAGTCAAAGAAAAAATTGCAACCCTCATTAGTCTGTGTGGTAGATGTACAGATCAATTTTCCAAAATGTTTTATAGTTTACTATGATGTGGCAGTCCTAAATGAAAATGTTATGCCTAGAATGCTAAGGAGTTTGACAAGATAGCATTAGAAAGCATGTAAGTAATTGGACTATATGAGACACTTGTGCTTTTTTTTATTAATTAGTGTTAATTTGGTGCTTCAATGGAAAGTAAATTTTTTCCCTTCTTACTTTCCATTTTTACTTTTGTTAAGTATAAGGAACTAATTTAGATCCGTTGTCCCTGGCCTAGTTATAACCAATTTGAATCCAAAGCATAAGGTTTCAGATTCCATCTCTTAACATTCTTATGGAAAATGCAGTTTACTATTAGTCTGTCTAATCTCCATGACTTATTCTCCTCAGTCCTACACACCTCCAAGCAACGAATTCAAGATCAGCATGAAATTGGAAGCACAGGACCCCAGGAACACCACCTCCACCTGTATTGCCACAGTAGTTGGACTGACAGGTGCCCGCCTTCGCTTGCGCCTTGATGGCAGTGACAATAAAAATGACTTCTGGCGCCTGGTTGACTCAGCTGAAATCCAGCCTATTGGGAATTGTGAGAAGAATGGGGGTATGCTGCAGCCCCCTCTGGGTGAGTAACTGGGCCCTCGCTAGTCAGTCTAGTCAATCAACTTGATTCCAAAAGTCATACATACTGTTAGGAGAAAACCCAGAGACTCTTGTTTATCCTTTTTTCATATGGTCCCCCCAAAATGACCTACCCAAACTGAAACAAACTGCAAGATATGGACATCTCCATCTCTACATTGTGTTATGAGGTCCAAACTTCTTCAGACTCTTACTTTTTCTAGCAAGAGTTGTGTTCCAATAAAACTTTATTTACCATGAAAAGGTGACTAAGCCTGCTAACTTAAGTTTGCTGGCTTATGATTTAGATACAACCACTTGTTATAGTTGTAAAATGTGAAATATTAACCCTTTCTTTCCATCTACATCAATTAAATAGACTATGACTATTAAAATCCCTTTCTTCCTTTTATATCTGCGCCCATTTGTCCTGGGAGAAAAAATGGAAGGTTTTGCCATTTAATCTACCTCAAAAAACAATGTTTGACCAAATTCTATAATTATGAGAAAGAGTAAGAAAAAAAATCTCCCCATGTAACAGATGACTATTACAAGGATCTTTTATCTTCTCTTGCCCAAATTTTTACTTGGTCCTTGGAATCTTCTCATTTTGATTTCACTATTAAATAAAATCTATAATTTTACTTACTTTTCTCTAATATATCATAGTCACCCTTTTTTTTCAACCTCAATATACCTGAGAGATTCAGCCCATTTTCATCAATTACTCAGTCCCTATTGCAGTGAATCCCAATGGGGTGTTAGCAAGAGGTGGGTTGTACTATAACTTACAGCTAACCTTTGTTACACTTATTGTTTATTTTGAAGGATTTCATTTTAAAATCTAATTTTGCTTTATAAATACATACAATATATACATTTTTAAAGTTTATAAAACAAAGCATACTCAGGAAAATCCTCTTAACCCAGTTCTTTCCTTTTATAACCATTTTAATTCTGTAGTTTATCCTTCCATTTTTAAAAGTATAAGGAAATATATGTGTGTGTCCATATATACATTTACCTATATGTGCTTACGTAAGTGATAGCATGCTATACATACTTTTCTCAACCTTGCTTTTTTTCATTTACTGGTATATTCTAAAGCTGACCTCACGGTAGTATGCATGAATTATTCATTCCTTTTTTTGTTTTAAAGATTTATTTATTTATTTATTTGAAAGGCAAAGTTATGGAGAAAGAAAGACAGAGAAAGAGATTGTCCATCTGCAGGTTCACTCCCCAAATGACAGCAACAACCAGGACTGGGCCAGGCTGAAGCCAGGAGATTCATCCAAGTCTTCCATGTGGTTGTAGGGGCCCAAATACTTGGACCATCTTCTGCTGCTTTCCCAGGTGGATTTTCAGAGATCTGTGTTGGAAGTGAAGCAGTTGGGACTTGAACTGACACCCATATGGGATGCCAGCATTGCAGGCAGTGCCTTAATCTACTATACCACAAGACCAGATCCTCCTCATTTCATTTTATACCTGTGTAGAACAGTATTATTCTGATGCTTATTTTTAGAAACCTTTTATTTAATGAGTACAAGTTTCATAAGTACAACTTTAGGAATATAGTGATTCTTCCCAACATACCCACCCTCCCACCCCCTCTCCCACACCACTTCATCCTCCCTCTCCCATTCCCAGTCCCATTCTCCATTAAGATTCATTTTCAATTAACTTTGTACACAGAAGACCAACTCTATACTAAGGAAAGATTTAAAGAATTTGCACCACACACACACACACACACACAAATATATATATATATATTTATATTTTATATATATATATATAAAACTGTTTGAGAACAAGTTTTACAGTTAATTCTCATAGTACAACTCATTCAGAACAGAGGTCCTGCATGGGGAGTAAGTGCATAGTGACTCCTGATGTTAATTTAACAGTTAACACTCTTATGTATGACGTCGTTGACCACCTGAGGCTCTTGACATGAGCTGCCAAGGCTATGGAAGCCTTTTGAATACACAGTTTCCATCAATATTTAGACAGGCCATTTCACTGCAGTAGGAAGTCTCTCCTCCCTTTCATCAAAAAGTATATCCTTCTTTGATGGCCCCTTCTTTCCACTTGGGTCACGTTCACCAGGATCCTTCATGTAGGACATTTCTTTTCTTTTCTTTTTTTTTTTTTTGCCACAGTCTTGGCTTTCCATGCCTGAAATACTCTCATGGGCTTTCAGCCAGACCAGAATGTCCGAAGGCCTGATTCTGAGGTCAGAGTACTATTTAGAGCAATTGTCATTGTATGAGTCTGCTGTGTGAACTGCTTCCCATGTTGGAACATTCTCTCCTTTTTAATTCTATGTATTGATATTACCAGACTCTTGATCTTATTTATATGATCCCTTTAACATTTAATCCTATCTTTGTGATAAATTTAAAATTTAATATGATCACTTTAAAACTTAAGATGGCATTATTACCACCCAGCTAATGGGATTTGGAGTCCCATGGCAAGCTTTTAGCGTATCCTTAGAATTAAGTCCATAGGAATGTATGCAAAACTATATAGCTTTAAAAACTTCCTCTTCCCTCTTATTCCCACTCTTAATTTTTACTGGAATCTACTTTTAGTTGTACACATATGATTAATTCTATGTTAGATAAAGAGTTCAACCAATTGGTATTAAGAAGGGAAAAAAAGGACTGTTTGAGTAGTAGTTTTACCATTAATTCTCATAGTACAACACATTAAGGGCAGAGGTCCTAGATGGGGAGCAGGAGCACAGTGACTCCCGTTGTTGATTTAACAACTGATACTCTTATTTATGACATCAGTAATCACCCAAGGCTCTTGTCATGAGCTGCCAAGACTATGGAAGCCTCTTGAGTTCACCAACTCCGATCTTATTTAGACAAGGCCATAGTCAAAATGGAAGTTCTCGCCTCCCTTCATAGAAAGCTACTGCCTTCTTTGATGGCTCGTTCTTTCCCCTGGGATCTCACTCACAGAGATCTTTCATTTAGGTCATTTTTTTGTTGTTGCCACAATGTCTTGGCTTTCCATGCCTGAGAAACTCTCATGGGCTTTTTAGCCAGATCTGAATGCCTTAAGGGCTGATTCTGAGGCCAGAGTGCTGTTTAGGCCTTTTGCCATTCTACTACTCAAACAGTACTCTATACTTTGTGTGTCTTTGTGGGTGAAGTCTGTTGAAATCTTTACTTAGTATATACTAAGTTGATCTTCTGTATATAAAAATAATTGAAAATGAATCGTGATGAAGAATGGGATGGGAGAGGGAGTGAGAGATGGGATGGTTGCAGGTGGGAGGGAGGTTATGGGTGGGGAGCTGCTATAATTCAAAAGTTGTACTTTGGAAATTTATATTTATTAAATAAAAGTTGAAAAGAAAAAAAAATAAGGAAAAAAAGAAACAAAAAAACTGTTCCTCAATAGTCAAGACAAGGGCTGTTCAACTCATTGCTCCTCAAAGTGTAATTTTCACTTCTGCAGGTTTCCTTTTAGGTGCTCTGTTAGCTATCACAGGGAGAACATACGGTATTTGTCCCTTTGGCACTGCCTTATTTCACTGAGTATGATGTTTTCCAGATTCATCCATTTTGTTGCAAATGACCAGATTTAATTTTTTTAAAGATTTTATTTATTTTATTTGATAGGTAGAGTTACAGACAGTGAGAGGGAGAGACAGAAAGAAAGGTCTTCCTTTCGTTGGTTCACTCCCTAAATGGTTGCAACAGCAGGAGCTGTGCCAATCCAAAGCCAGGAGCCAGGCACTTCCTCCCAGTCTCCCACATGAGTACAGGGGCCCAAGCACTTATGCCATCTTCCACTGTTTTCCCTGGCAATAGCAGAGAGCTGGATTAGAAGTAGAGCAGCAGGGACTAGAACCAGCACCCATATGGGATGCTGGTGCCACAGGCAGAGGATTAACCCACTGTGCCACTGTGCCGGCCCCTTGGATTTCATTTTTTTTACCAGTGTGTAGTATTCCATAGAGTACATATTCCATAATTTCTTTATCCAGCCTTCAGTTGACAGGCATTTGGGTTGATTCCATGTCTTAGCTATTGCGAACTGAGCTACAGTAAACATGGGGATGCAGATAACTCTTTTATTTGCTGATTTCATTTTCCTTGTGTAAATTTGAAGAAGTGGGATGGCTGGGTTATATGGAAGAACTGTATTCAGATTTCTGAGGTATCTCCAAACTGTCTTCCGTAGTGGTTTTACCAGTTTACATTCCCACCAACAGTGGATTATGGTCGCTTTTTCCCCACATCCTCTCCAGCATTTGTTGTTTGTGGATTTCTGTATGCAAGTCATTGTAACAGGGGAAAGGTGAAATCTCATTGTGGTTTTTATTTGCATTTCCCTGACAGGTATTGATCCTGAGCATGTTTTCATGTGTCTGTTGGCTATTTGTATTTCCTCTTTTGAAAAAAGTCTGTTTAAGTACTTTGCCCATTTCTTAACTGGGTTGTTTTGTTGTTGTGGAGTTTCTTGATCTCTTTGTATATTCTAGTTATTAATCCTTTATCTGTTACTTAGTTTTGAAATAATTTCTCCCATTCTGTTGGTTGCCTCTTCACTTTCCTGATTGTTTATTTTGCATTACAGAAGCATCTCAATTTCATGTAATCCCATTTGTTAATTTTAGCTTTTATTGCCTGTACCTCTGGGGTCTTTTCCAGGAACTCTTTGCCTGTGTCAATGTGTTGCAGAGTTTCCCCAGTGTTCTCTAATAATTTGATGATATCAGGTTGTAGATCTAGGTCTTTAATCCATTATCAATGGATTTTTGTGTAAGGTGTAAGGTAGGGGTCCTGCTTCATACTTCTGCATGTGGATATCCAGTTTTTCCAGCACCATTTACTGAAGAGACTGTCCTTTCTCTAGGGATTGGTTTTAGCTACTTGGATGAATATAAGTTGGTTGTAGATGTTGGATTGATTTCTGGTGTTTCTATTCTGTTCCATTGGTCTGTCCATCTGTTATTGTACCAGTACCAGGCTG